AAAAAAAAAAAAAAGTGTGGATAGGTTGAGCTGCTGATCACAGGAATAAAAGTAGAACTTATGTTTTTGCTTTTAAGAGAGAGATAGCTTTCCCATTCACATTTTAATTTAAGAATCAGGAGTGTAAACTCTAAAATGACAACACTGAAGGTGAGGCCTGTGGGGCAAGGGCAAGGGACCAGGATGGGATACAGGGATGTAAACAGGACGGTTGGGGCAGGGAAGGAGGAAGTGCCCCTGAATTAAGGGATGGGGGAGGCAAACAATGGACAATGGAGACTGGAGGAAAGAGAAGCACACAAATATGTCTAGACTTCCTCCTGCTGGCCCTACTCCTAACGCCCACCCATCACCACGCCAGACTTGCTACTGGGGAGATATTACAGCGATTGTTCATTCATGCAACCTGCATTATTAAAGTACATAATCAGGGCAGAGAGAACCATCTTCAAGGGAATAAAACTGCCCTGTTAGCATATTACAGTTAAGTAGTCAGTTATATTTATTTGTAGCAATAGGCAATTAAGTGTTTTGACTTTTTCTAAGAAACCAGTTGGAATTAAACTGCTAGGTAGAATTGACCAGAGTTTAGTGACCCTCTCCTTTATGCAGTATTAAATCCTACTGTTTTAAATAATTATGGGTAAGGCCAGTTTAAATGTGAAATGTTCACATACTATTAAAGAATGTTGTTTTATGGTATTTTTTTATTTTCATATGTGTAGTAAGAAAACCAGTGCAGCAGAGTATTACTTCCTAACATCCTCCTGGGAGATAAAAGCAATTTGAAATTAGAATAACAAAACACTAGTTCCTCAATTATTGTCCCCACTCAAATTATATATATATATATATATATATATTTTTTTAAAAATATTTATTTGAGAGAGAGCATGAGCAGGGAGGGCAGAGAGGGAGAAGTATCTTATTTATTGATTGCAGATATTTGCTATATAAGGGCTGACTGAGTTTTGTTTGTAGGTATAAATGACAAAAAGGGAATACTGTATAAAAAATCTCAATTAACTAATGACCTCTAATCAAGATTTAACCTGTTGCTTTCTAAGAACAGTTTTAGGTTTAAAGAAGTCTTAAAATAATTTACATGAAATGGAAAGGAAAAATGGTTTATCACATTGCTATTGGTTTTTTTTGCCAGTGAAACTTTTTGTTCGTTCTACAGGCATATTATAATTACTGGTATCTCAAGGTAAATAGCTTCAAATACAGATCTCTTTGGTTTTGTGAAGGGGAACTTGCGGAGTTTCCAAATTGTTCAGTCAGTACTCTGATGTCTTAGAATTTGTACTACTTCCTCGTGTATTAAAATGAACTGTGTTTTCTTTTGAATTTATAGCCGCAAATATGGCCAGTACACTATGAACCAGGAAATCACCAAAGTTCCCGAAAAGCCTCCATTTGACCGATCAAGTTCTCAGGATTCTCTGGATGAACTATCAATGGAGGACTATTGGACGGAACTAGAAAATATCAAGAAATCTAGTGAGAACAGACAAGATCAAGAGGTGGTGGTTGTCAAAGAGCCTGATGGTAAAAACTAGATAAGTAAAACTTCTGTGTGTTTGTGTACGTATTTCCGGGGGATGACTACATGGGAATGATGGGGACATCAGCAGCAGCAAGAATTAAAGATAGGACAACCCAACTAAGATCATGTTAGTTGGCCTTTCAGCTTGAAAATTACTTGTTTGTGGCAGATTTATGGATGTGGCTGCCACATTTAAGTAGCATGAGGAAAATCACTTCGTCTGAGAGATGGCTAGAATCTTGTTGGCTAGGCTTACTGTATTACAGACCCCTAGGATTTAACTTGGTCTTTGAAGTGATCTAACTTTCCCTCTGTGTGGTATTCTAGCCACATGGTCGATTGTTCTCTAGTGAGTATAGATGCTGCTGGAAAGCTCACTACTTTGCAGTGATGCTATTTTTCCATTGGTCAGTTAGCTTGAGTTGTCTTGATGTTCTTCATTTTATTGATTCACGATCTGCCGTCCTCTACCTTGGACATACTTTTTGCCTTTTGGAAGAACAGAACAAGCCTATTTTATGTTTATGGGATAACCTTTCAAATGTTTGAGGATGTTCATCTTGTTCCTCACCAAGTCCTTCCAGAAGGAAAAAAAAGATTTACATACCAGCCCTTCTGGTGGTTTTCGGACCTCTCTCAGTCCTGGTCATCTTGTATACCTAATTGGATATAATGCTGCAGGTTTAGCCAGCTAGCCTGGGGGTATAGATTTGGACAGTGTATGGCATTAGCGTTTTCAGCCTCCATATTTGTTTCTTTCTTCTATTTGGTCCATAATTTGTCTCCAGTTTCTTTCCACCTGTATTTCCCACAATCTCTACTACTATATTTGATATTATAGAAGAAACATATAAAACATTTTTTCCCCTCAAAATTCATACGGTTTCTTTCAGTCTCATAATTCAAGAAGTCACCAAGTTTTTGATGACCAATTCTGGCATCTATTATATTAGCTTGCTTGCTTTCTTTTTTTTTTTTTTTAAAAAAAGCATTTAAAAACAATTTTTATTTTAAGTAGGCTCCACGCTCAGCATGGGGCTTGAACTCACAACCCCGAGATCAAGGGTTGCCTGCTTTACTAACTGGGCCAGCCAGGTGTCCCATTTTAACTTTCTTTCCCTGCCTTGTGCCACCCATATGTTTGTAAGTATGTTTTTGGGGTGTCAGTTGATCTGGATGCCAAAAAAATAAGAGTGCCTCCTGACCCACTAATAATGATCTCCTTTTCAGCAGAGGACTTCTTGAGTATATGACTTAGCACTGAGCTGTTAAACAGAATCCACATACATAGATTTTTCCCCTTGCTAAGGCATTTTTGGAAAATCTACCAATAATACTTTAAAAGAGAAATTAGAGATTTTTCTTAATTTAACATTTCTTAGATTTGTAAAATTATAATCAAGTCATTCTTTTGTTTGGGTTTTCCTTTATTTTACTCTCATTCTTCCTCACTTTACCAGTAAAACTGAACTTACTTGAGAAAATCAGTGCATGGCCCAAACGTTCTGTCTCAGTGTTTCAAGATGGAAGCAGCATACCAGTGGTCTGCTGAATAAGGAGAAAATATTCCACAGAAAATAGCATTCAAGCCTGATACATAGATGTGTGTCATTTATCTATTTCATAATTTTCCAAGACTAAAATGAATTTAGAGATTGTTGTTCATAATGTGATTATCAAGAAGAATTGGGAATGTTCCTACATGCCCATGCTTTTTCTTTGACCTTAAATGGTTTGAGTTTTACCTCTGCTTTTTAATAGATCAAGTGATTCTGTATTCAAATCTTGTTTACTTTACCTATCATGTCAATATCTGCTTTCTTTCCCCTGGCAAATTGGTTTCATGCATGTATACTGAGTTCTACCTTAACAGCATTCATGATAATGGCTCACTTTTTTATGTCCGTAAACAAGTTTTATTGCCCAGCATGCAGAATGCCTGGCACTACATTATGTTTCTTAAAACCGAGGGTATTAATACTAGATTCTTGGTTATAGATGAGAGAACAGAGTAGACTTGAGGCTGAGTGACTTGTCCAAAGTCAGGTGGCTATGAAGGTGGAGAAATGGAGTGTAGATGAAGGTCTTTTGGGTCTCAAGTCCTCGGTCTTTCATTTTCCTCTATAAACTTAGTGCTTGAAGGGAATCTATCCTCGTTATCTTTCTGTTTTTCTGTAATTTTCATAGATCTTACACAATATTTGCTTTACTATTTACTTTCTGCTTTCAGTATTCTGAATTGATTATTATGTAATTAGTTTCCCATAATCTCTCTCTCTATATTTTTGTTTAAAATAGTGTGCTTTTCTTTTTTAATTTGTAAAAAAACAAAACAAAACACATGAATCTGATGTGCTTACTATGGGGATTAAAAACTTAATTTGAAATTGATTAGTTCCTGATGTCTGGATGCTCTTTACTTTTTTGCCATACTCCCATGTCAGCAACAGTGAACAGAGAAAACAAGCCTTTCCATCAATTAGTGTTGGACTGTGGGGCAGTGCTGAATTTAAGCCAAGAAACAGGGCTTTATTGGATATCTCCAGCATTGAGTTCCTTCTGTAACTTGATGGAAGTAAACTATCTTTTCATTGCTTGCTCCTCTCTAGAAAGGGGCCAGTACTATCTTGCCCTAGTTAATCTGCAGGGAAGTTATAGAGGTTAATCACATGTGAAGTCATTTAATTGAGTATATATGAAATGGACCTAAAATCTGATATCTTTGTGGCTGGAGTTGATGGCAGTTGTCCAAATTTCAGATAATGATTCTTAGCACTGTGGTTTGATTTCGATAGAAGAATGTCAGTAAGTGTGTTTGAAAAGCTTAAAAAAGTGCAAGTTTTCATGTTTTGTGATTTTTAAACCCCATTTTTCTCTACTGTCTTTAGAGGGAGAACTGGAAGAAGAGTGGCTTAAGGAAGCTGGCTTGTCCAATCTCTTTGGAGAGTCTGCTGGAGATCCCCAAGAAAGTATGGTCTTTTTGTCAACACTGACCCGGACCCAGGCAGCTGCTGTTGAGAAACGGGTAGAGACGGTCTCCCAGACCTTGAGGAAAAAAAACAAACAGTACCAGATACCTGACGTCAGAGACATATTTGCTCAACAGAGAGAGTCAAAAGAAAAAGTAGGTTTTCTTTTTTGATGTTAAAGCAAAGGAATAATTGCTTTGAACTGGTTGGACCAATCCAGTTTAATTCAGATCATTAAAAACTTAATGAGCACTTGTATGCCAGGCACTAAAGCTCCGTGCTGGCGGGGATCAAGAGAGACCCAGTCCCTGTCCTTCTAGAAGTTATACTGCTGGGGCAGAAAATTAAACGAGTTAAAATTCATTGCATAATCCTTGCATTAGTTGTCCTTGCAGTGTTAGGAATGGCCTGACTGCTCACACATGGGACTACCAATTGTTACTTAATAGAAAAGTAGGAGGTAAGGGATTCTTCCTTATTTATTAACTCCTGCAGGAATATTTGCTTTTCCTGAGGCTCATCTGGGGATGAATTAAAGTGTAGGGAAGGGTGGTGAGGGAGCTAACTGCAGTATAATTAGAAAGCAGGACCCTGAAACATGAAGTAACTTCCCCTTTGTGTCTAGTGCTTAACACAGTGCCTAGCACATAGAAGATTTGAGTAAATATTTGTCAAGATGATTAATTTATAATGGAAGCTGTTGGAATTGGGCGGGGAGAGACTGTGGGACTGATGGATGAAGAGATAGCAGGGTAGGCATGGTGAAAGTGAGAGACCTCGGTGGCCTAGAACACCCCCTTGGCGGGCTGTTTGTTACTCATCCATGAGCACGTAAGGAGCTTGCACAAAAGGTAAATTAATATCACCTCTTCCTTTATCAGGAAAATCTTGCTTCTAAAAAAAAAAAAGTCAGCTGAACTAAATGATATTCTTCGGGTTAAAGTGGATTTACATTCTGGATTATTCTCAGGTGTACTGACTAGTCCTGGCCTAGAAGACCCAAGAGGGTTGTTGGAATGAGAACAAACAAAAGGAATCTTGAACAGTGATGATAGTAGGACTAATTACTGCCGCCACTGCTGAATGCTTACTGTGCTAACGACTTTGCTTGCCTTATTTCATTTAATCCCTACAGCCGTCCTGTGAGTGAGGTATTACCATTTCCATTCTATGGCTGAGGCTCATAGACTTTAAGTAACTTGCTCAATGTCCCATAGATAGTAAACCCAAATTTGTGTGACTTCAAAGTAGGTGCTTTTAACCACGATGTGTCCTACTGTATTTGGGTATCCATATACGATTCTGATATTAAGTAATCCGAACATGAGATTCTATTTATACTACAAATGAAGGGTAACAAAAATCATATGATTCTAAAAAAAGAAAGGTACCTTGAATTTAATCCAGAATGTCATGTAGAGGGTTTTTTTTCTTTTTGTAGACATTTTATTCTTCCGAGAAATCCTTAATAGCTTCAGATTGCTACTGTATTTGCATGGGCAATTGTGGATCAACTCCGGTCTATTTGATGGGAGTTTTGGGGTCACTGGATTGCTCCAGGCAGGTCTCTTGCTCCTGAGAGGCAGTTAAACACTTGCTTACCACCCAGTGGTTATTTGGGACAACCACTGGGGTTGAAGCGCAGGACTAGGTTTCCAGATGTAGGAAAATGAATGGTAAGGAAATACAGTATTATGACATTTCCTTCCCAATTAAAGAACCCTCGCTAAGGGAGTTAAGAGGAAGTAAAAAGGGGGAGGGTGAGAGAACGGAGTCTAAGCAAAATATCTACTGTGGGATTCGTGCCAGTCTCCAAGAGGATGTTGCTACTCAGGGCTAGAAGCAGCATTTTCCAGCAAATTCCCAGTAATATCTAAGCCACATGGTTTGATTCGAAGGTAATGGGTGGATTGTATCATCTGATGGCACCATTAAGAGAGAAATAGCACAAGTAAATTAAAATCACGTTAACTTGCTTACACTGCGTGCCTTTAATTGGAACACTGCCACCCATTAGAAATATGTCCCCATTCCTCAAGGAAACATGGGCCAGCCATCTTCACTTGCAGTTCTTCTGTTCTCAAATAGGTACAAATTCAGCTCTTCCATTTTAAATGCTTCCTCACGAAGCCCTTGCTGACACTAGGAAATATAATGCAGAAATGAATACCATCTGCACTGTTATCTTCACTTGCTAAGGAAAACGGTTCTGACCACATGCTCCAAAATATGTGCTCGTATGGAGGATTAGCATTGCTCACTGTGTTCGTTGTGCTGTGGAGGGCTGGCCTTCCGCAGTCTTGTGGGTGAAGAAAGGAGGATGGTATTTGCTCTGTCCTGGTGGGGGGTTGAAGGAATGTCCCGACCCTCATACCGCTTTTGTGATTGAGTAGTCACTGTCCCGAGTACGTCTGCCTCTAAGAGGTGCCCTGGTGTCCTCTGTGTACCTGCCCTGGTGCTCTTCTAGACTCTTCTTAGACTGCAGGTGAAGGGGAGAGTCCTTCCCGGCCAACAGCATGAGGTGAAATGTTGTAGGCTCTGTCGTCCTTTCAAACACTTTATTTGAATGGAGATGAAAATCCAATAGAGTGATTATTTAAAAAATAATTATTTCAAGCAGACCTCTGTGTCTGATTGGTGTAGACTCCCCTTCCTGATTCCTGAATTCCTTCTGAAGACTGACTTGGAAGGACGAAGTATTGCCCAGCCACACTTACTGGTGAGGGGAGCCAGCCATGTCCTATTGTGTCTATAAACCCTTGGAGGACCACAGTTTTCACGTGTCACTGCCCCAATCCCTTCGAAAAAGTTTCTTTGAATATCTGAGCTCATATTCCCTGCTTGGTAATTTAGTTTTAATTTATCTCACATTTATTACTGTTTTTTTTTTTAATTTGAAGAATTTTTATTTTATTACCTACATGTCGACTTGTAATTTTGTTTTATTATAGCGTTATCAAAATATAATTCACATACCATCTAATTCACCCATTTAAAGTCTACAATTTAGCGATTTTTAGTATAGTCCCAGATTTATAACCATCACCTCAGTTTTAGCACATTTTCATTATTTCCCAAAGAAAGCCCGTTAGCAGTCTTTCCTGTATTCTCCTCCTCACCCCTAAGCAACCACTTATCTACTTTGTATCTCTCTATGACTTGCTTATTCTGGACATTTTATAGATGAGGAATCCTATCTTGTGACTGGTTCCTTTTACTCAGTATACCGTTTTCAAGGTTCATCCATGCTGTAGCCTGTATCAGTACTTAAGTTCTTTTTATTGCTGAATAATATTTTATTGTGTGGATAGACCACGTTTTGTTTATCTGCTCTGTTACTGGATATTACCAGTTTTTTGTAAGTTTGTCTTTATCCCTCAACTAAGTAGTGGTGTGCTTGATGGCAAGGACACTTTTTTTTTAATAAAGATATGTTTATTAGAGTGTGGGGAGAAGGGCGGGGGGAGAGGGAAAGTGAGAATCCTCAAGCAGGCTCCCCGCTGAGCATGGAGCCTGACAGCCTGACGTGGGGCTCCATCCCAGGACCCTGAGATACAACCTGAACCAAAATCAAGAGTCAGTCCCTTAACCGACTGAGCCATCCAGACCCCCATTGGCAAGGACACTCTTAATGTTTTTCATATTCCCTACAGGGCTTAGTATTGTGTCTTAGTATTGTGCCCCTAGGGGGCAATCTAATATTTGTTGGATGATTGCTTGTTGATTATAAATATAGTACATTTTTTTTCTGTGGTGGTTGTAATTCTGAGTGTGTTTCTTGTACTCTGAAGATTGGTAATGGGATTATTTACAGTACCATTTCTCTGGTTGTGAGTTGGAGATGACTCAATGGCCCACTTTCTATCTTTAGGCTCCAGATGGCATCAACTCACAGTCAGTCAGAACAGATGAAAACACACATCAAGGAAAAGATGGTACGTTGGACCTGTTCTCTTGTATTTTCCTATTTATTAGCATAACAAACAGATACAACCTTTTAAAACATTCACCTTCAATTCTAGTAAGCAAATTTTGTTAAAATGCTAATATAAAGTGCCCAAATAGATAATTACATAAGGCTGGGAATATAGTGGGACTTTGATTTTTTTTGGATGTTTGTGTAGCTCTGTTCTGACATCTCTATGCATAGTCAGTTTTCCCAACTGTTTACCATGTTCTAGGTACTTTGTGAAGATGTTTACCTAATTTAATTTACTCAAGAACTCTACATAGTAGGTACTGTTCTGAACCCGTTTTACAGATGACAATACGGAGGTTTAGAGATAGGAAGTCCCTTTCCCAAGGCCATACAGCTAGTGAGTGGAGCTGAAGAATTTGGAGCTCCATTCTGAGATCATAAGTTCTTAATTCATAAATGGATTCCTCTTCAGAAAGCTTATAAAGGCTTAAAAAACAGTATTTTGGGGAATTCATTATAATTCTTTTCATACTTTTTCTCTTCTATACCATGGGTGAAAATAAGTATTAAGACTTCGTTAGCACTTAATCAAGAAAGAATTTGTAGCTTTTCCCCTTATTTGCAAAAAGAAAAAAAATATTCCAAATGAACCTTAAAAATTTAATCCTTACTGTGTTATTTAAAAACTGTAACAGAGGTGGTCTGTGGTTGCCAGATACCAGCTCAGGGACTCGTCCTTGTTTTGTTTATGTTCTTCAGACCTGGCACCTGGAGTGCTCACACCATTAATAGTGTTGTACTGGGATTAGAGGTAGTAGGGGAGGAGTATCAGGCCGACTGTGGAGGACTGGGAAGTGTTTCCCGCCTTCTCATCACAATCGGATTAATCCAAGATTACATGGGACATCTGGGAGGCTTGGAACATCAGTATCTCTATTTTTCCTTCCATACTTTTCTCAGAACTTCTCTCCTGCACCCCTGCCTTTAGAAATAAGTAAATAAGTGTGTGCATGTCTGTGTATGGACACAGACATGTCTATATTTTCTATCAAAGCCCTTGCTATTATGTGGAGGTTTCTTTAGTTGTATGTATATTTTTATATCAGAATGAAATCACTGGGTGTTTCCCCAGCTCTGCAGACCAGCAAACACTGAAGCGGCAAGCCAGCTGGAAGGGCTAGTACTGGCCTGCTAGAGAGCTAGGTCATCGAGAGAGACGGATGAACCTTTTGTGCCAATGTCCGTATGCTTTGGGGAAGGGTGCCTGGCAATTGCTAAATGAATACTGAGGAAAACATTGTCCTTGCTTGATGTTTTCCTCCCTTGCCAGAGGTGGTAGGCTCTATAAACAGAAATTCTGGAAGACAAGTTCCATTATAAGAGTACTTTCCAGGCTCGCTTGCAGCTGCCGAGTAAAACATGACAGACTTGCCTGATTTACATCTGCTTTTGCCCAAATGCTGTGAGGCAGGCCTAGAGCCTCCGATCAGAATAATAAGACAATATGTGTAACAGCATCCGAGTCACTGAGTTTTTACCACTGCACCTGTTGTAGGCAAGGCCATATTCTTTCGATAGTCAGTGAATTAGCCAGTGCCATGTACATACTGAAAGGTTTAGAATGAAGGGCACAGAAAAACACTGTCTGGAGTTCAAAAATGGAGCTCATTCTGTTTGAAATCTGAAGGTGTGGATGACCTCGTCTATTTTAAATGTTTTCCTACACTTGGGTTTTTATGTATGTTCAATGAGAGATATTTATTCTAAATGAAAAAGTCACAGCAGTCTTAATGTTGCAAGGGTTGTCACATTTCAAATTGATCAGCTAAGTATTATTCTTTTCATCAAATTATAAAACTCTATGTATGCGAATGGCCCATCGTTTTTATACATACACTTAGAACATTAATAATGCCCAAATAATTTTTAAAACTTTCATGTTGGTATGTATATTTACTTATTTCCTCTTGATTTCTTTGGAGGAGGGATAATTCTTTTTAAAAATAAAGGCACTTTGGGGGCGCCTGGGTGGCTCAGTTGGTTAAGCGACTGCCTTCGGCTCAGGTCATGATCCTGGAGTCCCTGGATCGAGTCCCGCATCGGGCTCCCTGCTCGGCGGGGAGTCTGCTTCTCCCTGTGACCTTCCCCCCTCTCATGTGCTCTCTCTCTCTCACTCTCTCAAATAAATGAATAAATAAAATCTTAAAAAAAAAATAAAAATAAAGGCACTTTGGAATATTTTGAACAGTTGAAAAACTTTAAGGAGTTGTGTAAAATATTTATAACCCAGAGCTATTGTTCACTTCAAAACCAAAGGAGAATAAAGAAATTATACTGTTTACACTTTAGGACTTTAAGAGTCAAAGGTTTATGTCAGAATTTTCTGTTAACTTTTCTCTATGAGAGTAGATCATTGATTCATAGATATTTTTATTAGCCAATTCACCATCCATTTCTTGTAACAATGCCTATTACCCCTGAAACAGTTTTTCCTACTATCTACCTTAACTTGATCTACCATTTGAACTCTTAGGTTCTTATGCTCCAAGTTGTTTTTTTTTTTTGCCACAGTTTGGAGGAAATTCGTATATACTAAATATATTGTAACTTAATTATAATTTCTCAGTTTTGAAATCAACAGATTTTTTTTTTCAGGGGTACAGGTCTGTGATTCATCAGTCTTATATCACACCCAGTGCTCATTACAACACATACCCTCCCCAGTGTCCATCACCCAGTTACCCTATCCCTCCATCCCCCTCCCCTCCAGCAGCCAACACAGGACATTTTTTATGTGGGGCAGTGGTGATATGGGTGTGTTGAGGGAAAAAAAAGAATAGTTTTAAAATTCTTGTCCATAAACACTCTGCTTCTGGAAAGGTAGCTTCTAATTTAAGAAAATGGCTAATCATTTTTTTTCCCCCTCTCAGAATGGTTTCCTAGGAAACCAACATACATACTCACAGTAAAACATAAAACAGTGGAAGCCAGTGGGAAAGGAAAACTAAAACTGTGCTCTGACGTTTAATACTTTAAAAATTGATTGTAAAACGGTTTAGTTATTCTAATTAAAAAATTTGTCACAGGCTCTTGGAATAGCAACATAAATAGTATATAAATGTGCCATAGATGGCAGCAGATAATTACCATCAAGGAGCTTCAAATTCATTCTTAATTTTGGAATTGGCATTGGTCAGTGTTTACTTATTATTTTAACTGGGAGATACTACCTGGCCACTGATGTAGTTTGCAGGGCCCAGTCCAAACTGAAAATGTGGGACTTCTTGTTGAGATTCCAAGGTGGCAACAGCAAAGCGTTAAACCCAGAAGGGGTCCTTCTGAACGCAGAGGCCCGTGACAGCACAGGTGATGTGCCCAGAGGCCCGCCCTGCTTATCAAACAGAAGTAATGAGGCTAGAGTTGTATTTATTCCTAATTTTCTGTTGGGTGAAACAAAAACATATTTTTTTAATTTAAATGACTATAAACATATTTTTCTGAAGCCAGCAGTGTTAATAACACATGTATAGATATGGCATGCCTTTATTACATTTTTAAATTAACTTTACCTTCTATCACCTTGTTGTGTTAGTATAGAAGCATGCAAATGCACTACGTAAGTTTATTTTGTAATACATAGCTGCTCACCATGACTTAAAAGTCTGCAATGAGAAAAAAACAGTAATCCTGTCATTGGTTCCAAGGTTTCTCTAATGTGAGTTGTGTTTAAACCAAAAACTTACTGAATTATGTCAGTTAGAACTATTTTCTTCAAAACTTTAAAGCTAGTGTTTTCAGCAAAGAAGCTTGCCAATGTTAAGTCTTTCCTAGAAGGTTAACAACAGACAGACAAAAAGCAATATTAAACTAATTATATAGCCTTAAAATGTTGATGTAAATATCCAGAATTTATTTGACTAGGTTTATAGTTGTGAGAACCTTAATAGTCTTTGATATAATTGGGTACAAAACCTATTGGTTCCTGTACCAGGTACTTCCACACCTGACTCCCACTGTGGCAAGTTTTTGGCACTAACTCTTATTTTGGAATTCTTCCTCTGATAGGTAGATAACATTCCAGAAAGGAAATGCAGGGTGTGGAAGAGGTCTGTTCCAGTAATCTGTTTCACTCTGAGAAACTGAAATGGTGTATCACTAATTTCCCCCACTTTTTTTTTTTTTTTGCTTTTGCTTTTAATCTCCCATTGTAAAATCAAACGACAATTAAGTTTACTAAATTTTTGTGAGGTTTCTCATTAAGAGTTTGAGATCATCTATCAATGTTGGATGTGTCAACCCAGTCTAAGAATTGTGACCTCAGAGAAAGATTCCACAATTGAACTATGGATTCTAGTCTCCACCTTCCCTCCTATACCCTCCATCCACCATTGGTAGGATTCTTGGAGTAAACTTTTTAAAGTATCCACTAATTACTGACTATAGTAAATAGTATTTTTCCCAAAGGTTTTTATGTAGTTGATGTAAAGAAGTAAAAAAAAGAAAGAAAATATATTAATTGAACCTTCTGGTTTTTTTCCCCAGACCAGGCATCTAGCCTACTTGTTGGTGAAAAAGAGCTCATTCCACTGGTTCCTGAGGAGGCACCTGCCTCTGAAACAGATATCAACCTGGAGGTATCGTTTGCAGAGCAAGCAGTCAATCAGAAAGAGAGCTCCAAGGAGAAGGCCCAGAAGAGCAAAGACAGTGATGCTTCGTTACCTGTACGTAGTGTACTATTCAGATTTCACTAAAAGAGAAGAATGTATTTTTTTTTTTTTTAAAGATTTTATTTATTTATTTGACAGAGAGAGAGATAGCGAGA